TTTCTATACCCCTCTGATTATATAATGGTAAATATTACAATAGCATAGCACAACAACAGTGATCAGCAATAATGATAAGCCTAATACTCACAATAAAAATAATTAGGTCATATAGATCATAACACAGTCTTGGAGGTAAGAAGTGGTTTATCCTTCACCTGAAATGTGTATTTTCATCCTGAAGTGCGAGGCAAATGTTGGATCACAATAATTAGGAACCACAGTTTCCACAAATCCTTTCATTTGATTGGGATGTTCTCCTTTATTCTGGACGGCAAGGGCAGTGACTGTAACATCGAGCGTATTTTGCAGTATTAAACACTTATTTATACCGATTTCATCAGGCTCCGAAAATTCTTCAAAAAGAACACAAAGAATGGCCTTCTCAGCTGCCATAGTTGCAACTCTTGCGTCATCAGAACAGAGTGTTCAACGCACCGTTTCCGTTTAAAAAACGTTTTGCACCGTTTTGTCGGGGCTGAACGCAGCCCAGGCTTTCTCACCAAAATGATGTCACTTCCTGGACAGTGATGTCATTAAAGAACTATATTTTTCTCTCCAGCCAAAATGATTATGCTTTGGTGGTTCAAACCTTAAATTTTTATTCTATATAATTCAACAATATTTCTTTTCCCAAAGCCAAAAACATTAATACAATGTAAACAATTATATTTTCTTTAACCACAGTCCAAAATTAATGTAGGTAAAATATGTATATTGTTTTTTTAGAACTTATATATATACAGAGCTGAAATTTTATTTTGATTAGATTTTTGATTAGAGAACTGTAAAAAAAATTCTTAGTATTAGTATAGTTTTTATGTTAGAAATTAGTTCACTACATGAGCGACATCTGTAAAAAATTCACCACATGTGCACATTGTGCTGTTAAATAAATATAATTTTATACATAATTAATTAATAATAAAAAAAAAATTTAATTATACATTTAATATTTTAACCAATATATTAAGCCCTATTTACTCCATTATGATTATGATCTGTTCTTTATGGTGGGTAATCGTCTCAAATAATTAACATTTTTCAAGTCTGTTAATAATGTTGCTGTACATTACTGGCAGCAGACTTCAATAATCACGATTGGCCAGCTGTCCCCTAACACCTAGGTTTACACTTGCTTGTGTTTCTCCATGTTGTGTGTGTTGAACCAGTGTGTGTGTACTTGTGTATTTCAGCATTTGGATGTACTTAGTGACGTTGCCAGGCATAATCCATGTAAAGCCCCTGGTTCAAAGAGGATCTCGGTTAGTACAGTGCACAGCCACTCTAACACTCTTGTATCAACAGCAAACGCTTGCTATTGTCTCTGCGTTGGGAAGATATTAAACACAAAGAACAAAGAAATGATACCGAAAACAATAGATTCAGGTTTGTTTAGTTTTTATTGGCGTTTAGTTCCAATTTGACATCAACTGACACATTTTGCAGACGTACAGAAATAAAAAGAGTGGCACTATTGTGATGTTGCTTCAAACCGAATGCATGTACTGACATCCCCATGCTTTACGGTAAAGTCTACACATCGGGAACGCCGCGGGTAATAATAAGTGAAAGTGACACGCTGTATACATACAGTATCTGACCAATTTAGGTGGAATAATCAATAATGAACACTGTCTAAAGGCGATTACAAAATGTCAGGCTAAGATAAGCAATCTGTCACGTTATCTCCTGCACCTCACAGTCTAATTCGTCTCCTGTCTCGCTACATCTGAATATGAAGCATGGCTTATATAGAGTAAAACACAGAGCATGGACACACAGATGACTGAAAACCTTTAAGAAATTTCATCCAAGAAATATGTGTATATATATTTAATAAATATACACTTAAAAAAAACATAAAGTAACCATCAAAAGAAGAAGAAACTTCACATGAGCTCTAGCCATCAAATATGCACTATGTACATTTAACCTTTGGAGAGAAAGATACAGAGTAAATGTGACCATTTACTAGACTATCAGTTAAGACAGACAGACACACGACGACACTTCCTAGATAGAGCGCAGAGGGGCTGATAAGTGCATGTGTGCAAACCGGTCAGGTGAGAACCACGGTAAAAGCACATGTGCACTGTTGCAGGTACAGCGGGGAGGGGAAAAGGGAGCCAAAGCATTTCTCGCAGGGGTTTAGCCACTTCCCAACATCTTTGTGGCACGCTGGTTGGCTTCGTCGATCCTGGTTTTGTTGGAATCGGCCTGGAAGACAAAAAGAATAGATACAGATACAATAGCTGTTTCCTCCTGATGTCATTACGACAAACATGCTTGTTTTCAAAAAGAAACCCATGGGAGTGATATAATACAGTATTTTTTCAAATCATTTTTTGTTTAAATCAGCACAAATATACCCAGTTTATTACTTTAAACAATATATCATTATTTTCTGCATTATATTGTGCTTAATTGGCATGAAAATAATATCACAATGCAAAAAAATGGTTTTAATGGTTTTTATATATAAGACTAATATCAGATTATTGTCACATTAAATTAATAAAAGCAAATTATTATTATTATTATTATGAAAACCATATTATATATGCTTTATAGTTCTGAAAATTAGTGATGCTTAATTGTCTTAATGTATATTAATAATTTAGCATGATTTATTTTGTGATTCCAGAACTTTCAAGAACTGCTCTTCAATAAAATCAATAGTTATTTAAAAGAAAAAAAATCTAGATTTTAGTGTTTTTTTAGCATTTTAATTCAGTTAGACTACTTTAATATGAATAATGATATTAATTATATTTATTGTAATATATGTACTTAAATCATTTAAGTCATCCTGAAGTTTCAAGTTGAGAAGAAAAACATATTCTTTATTTTTTTTTAGCATTATGTTACATTAGTGTTAACATTAATAAAAAAATAGCTTCTCTATTTTTTTTGTATTCTATCTATTTGTTTTCTTTTTATTTATTATACAATTAACAAAAGCAAAAAAAAGGGCCTCTAACACTAGCTTGCTCTATTCTTTTTCTACTCTATCTGTTTTCTTTTTATTTATTATATAATTAAAAGAAAACGTGTATGTGTACTGCTTTAAGCTAACTGAGACTTATTGCATATCTTTGCTCTCTTGTTGATTTTGATTGCTTCCATTGTTTTCATTTGTAAGTCGCTTTGGATAAAAATATAATGTAACATTAACAATAATGAATAATATATTATTTTAAAGAATTTAATGCTGAAAACCACTGCTCTGAGAGGTTCAGATTAAAAGCAATAGTAATAGTGATGCATTCCCTTATAAAATGCATTTATGATCCAGAATTCATAAACACACTACTCCATGCAAATATTGATCTCAAAAGGTATTTTACAGTGGAATGTGACATTGCAAGCACAAACAAGCATCTTGTGGTGTAATTAGAAGCTCTTATCTCATGAGAGAGTTTGCGGTCAGTATTTAGGCTCTTGTGTTGAGGAATAATTTCTCCAACATTGCAATTACATGATCTTACCATATCCATAATCCTGTCGATTTGACGGTTCTGGGTGTCGATCTCGTTGCCCATGTCGAGAGCCATGTGGCGGAGGTTACCGATGATACCTCCCACCTGTTCCAAATTCTCATCCATTTCATTTTCTCGCGCATCATTTGTTACCCTGAAGATAATTAAAAACAGACTGGGTTTAGTAGAGTTTTCCATAATATAACACACTGTACTGTAACACAGAGATAAGAAAAATGTAGTTATTATATTCTGATCAAAGATTTTTTTTGCTGTGAAATAACATGTACCGATGAATTAGGAACATATATTACATTTACATTACGGCCGATTCTGTTTACTCCCATTACCTCACCCGTGGATTCTGACTACACTAGCAGGACTAGAACAACTGTCTACAACAATTAAGTTGTATATGGACTCTAACTAAACATTTCATTCTGTTTGCGGACTGACAGGGGATATTTTGAGACAGAGGACCAACAACAGCTCAGTGGTTTCATGACCATTCCTGACTTGCCTGCAGCTACAGTCTGGCACAAAGCGGACATTTGTCTTCAACAGACTATTATAGAGATCCTTGTGACTCACTGACAAGTGAAGCGCGGTGTACTTACTGCTGATACACTAGACCGATGAAAACAACCACAGCACAAATAGGTTTTGTTTACACAGTCAGCGTTTGGGACTGAGAAGCGTATTTACTAAAATGTCTCTCAAATTGATCTGTCCACACAACTGCAGACAAGAGCTAATGATCAAAAAATGTCTGTATGAACAGGTAACTGAAGTCAACTGCTCTAATTGGTAGGTGATCCCTATAACCATTGCAACAAACAGCAATAGTAAACACCAAGACATTATATTACGATTTTATTTTTATTCCAAATATTTCAGAATATTCCTGCTGCTTTCATCTTCTCAAAAACTCTCCAACTTCATTTTTCCTTGTATTTACTTGTATTGTATTGTGTTGTGTTGTAAATTTGAAGTAGAAAGACTGAAAAAGTATTTTCTTGTAAAAAATTCTCAAATAATCTTTGTTTCGTTTACAACTTCGGAAAATCATTTTTACAGTGTATACTAAACTTTACATACCACATTATATTACTTTAATACCATAATTTTTTTAAATAATTTTTTTACAGTTTAAAAATATATAATTATTTTTGCATTACATTAATGAGAACAAGATTTGATCATCATTACTATTATTATTATTATTAATAATACGTTTTGCATTACAGTACTAAAAATTAGGGATTCACTTAATTGTCATGAAAAAATGTTTTAATGAATATTAATATATAAGACAGAAAGACTTAATATACAAGACAGTCAGACAAATATTACCTAATTTATTACTTTACAATTTAAATAATATCCAAGATTTTGTTGCATTAAATTAATGAGAATGAAATATTATAATTATATATCATTGTGGTTATTATTATGCATTACTGACTAAAAACTGGTGTGACAATTGTCTATATATATATATATATATATATTTTTTTTTTTATATATATATATACAATCAAATACATTTTAATATATTACATTTACACATTTGGCAGACAGTTTTAGCAAATTACATTGAATTTAAGGTATACATTTTATCAGTTAATGCATTCTCTGGGAATCAAATCCATGATGTCGGTGTTGCTAACAACATGCTTATAGAATAAAATGACAAATTATATAATTTGTCAAAATATAAATATAAAATTAGGAACCTCTCTCAAAAGTTTACTCATAACCAAAGTCCACTGAATATACTGTATTTGCACTAATCTCTCCTAAGTAACTGACCTGCGAATGAATCCTCCGCTGATGGCCATCTGCTCACGTTCATCGACCACACGAGCTGGCTGACTGGACACCACCCCATCCTGGTTATTACCCCAGGACTGGCCACCACCTTTCAGCCTGAACAACCGCAGGAAATGAGAGAGACAGAGTGAGAAGCTGAACGGTGTTAAGTAACACTATTCAGCACTAGACATACACTGAGAGGAACTACATGCAGATAGAGAACACTTAAAACAGGAAATGGTGGTCAGGATTATCTGCATGTTATGGAATTGCATGCACTAAAGGTGTTCATGAATAAATGACCAATGCTTTCCTGGAACTAACGTACACACAGTGGGGTGTGACAGACTATTACATAGAAAATGATGGAGACGTGACAAGTTATTTGGAGGAGGTTCACAACAATTATCAAGGTAAAGAGACAAAGAGAAGCATTCAGAAGTAACATGTTCTCAGTGAGAGTACAGATTAGACCTATTCCAAACATATAAAGTGTGTTCATTAAACATTTTAGATACAGTTTGTTAGATCTGAAATTAATAAACCAATAGAAAAGCATTTGTCATAACAAGTAACATGCATTGCATTCAGCCGGGGAAGGGAATTAGGCTGTTTAGTAACAGTATGCATTCAGTAAAGATCTATGGCTTTGTTCACACCGCACCCATTTTTCAAATCCGAACTTTAGCAAGTGATTCTGGACCTGCTTGTTCAGACAGTCAATATCCAGTATATAACAGACATTATAGTAACTTAAAGAAATGAAAAAAAAAAAAAATTCTGCCACCATTTACTGATTCAAACTTGACTTTCTTTCTTCGGTGGAACACATAAGAAAATACTTTGAAAAATGCCTCAGTGTTTATTGTCCAATTAAAGCATATAGTGCTGTTATTGTTCACTAAAACTAATAAAAACATTTTTCTTAATTTCTTAATAATTTAAATAAAAAATAAATAATAATGAAAAAATTTAAAAACAAATGAAAATCCAAAATAATGCTATGGCAGCTAACTGAAATAAAATAAGTTTAAGTACTGAAATTAAAACTGAAATAAAAATAAATGAAAGCTTAATAGAAATGTTTAAAGGGGTCATATGATGCTTTTTTTTAAAGATCATTATTTTGTGTATTTGGTGTAACAGAATATGTTGACATGCTTTAATGTTCAAAAAACACATTCTTTTTCAAATACTGTACATTATTGTAGGTCCTCTATGCCCCGCCTCTCTCAAATGCTTCGTTTTCTACAAAGTCCCTCCTTCCGATAAGTGCAGTCTGATCTGATTGGCCAGCTGATCCAGTGCATTGTTATTGACCGAAAACCGCAAACTTGCTCTCTTGCTCTCTCGCTCTCTCGCTCTCTCTCTCTCTCGCTCTCTCGATCTCGCTCTCTCTCTCTCGCTCTCTCTCTCGCTCTCTTGATCTCTCTCTCGCGCGCGCTCTCTCTCTCTCGCTCTCTCGCGCACACACACACACACACACACACGATGCGCAAAACTCCGCATTTGAACAGTCAATAGCAAATATTTGATAAAGAATATCTCTTTGGTTTTGAGACTTTAGTCTTTGCAACTTCCGGGATCTTATCTATGCACAATCAGCTTGTAACACTCCAGAGAGAAAGGAAAACATGAAATCGCATCATATGACCCCTTTAAAAAATGACAAAAGTACAACAAATGACAAACAAATTAAAGACTGAAAATATAAAAATAAAAGCTACACTACACTTTACACGGGACAGAAACAGTTTAAACATCCTTTAAAATATGTTGTTTTGTGTTCCACAGATGAAAATTCATACAGGCTTGAAAAGACATAAGCGTGAGTAAATGATGACAGAATATTCATGCTGGTGTGAAATATCCCTTTGAGTGTCACATGATCCCAAGAGAATTTCTTCCACAAAACTGTGAAATGTTGCTAACATTCAAGAGGCCCAGATTATATATATATATATATATATATATATATATATA